CCCAAAAATTAGAAGTAGCTCAAATGAGGTTCCCAAGACACCCTGACTATACGAATGTTAATCGACAAGAGACATACGGAAATGATTGAAGACGAAGTATCATGGAAGTTAAAAAGAATAGGAAAAAATGGCTGGAAAATATTACAAGAATGTAAGAAGAAAGATCCCCAAGAGCTACCCTAAAATATAAACCATTTGGACAGACAGATTTAGGAAGACAGATATATAAAGAAATGAATCATGCAGAACACCTGGAAGACTGAATTATTTCAGGTTTACTGTTAACCAGGAACAGGCTCCCTGGCCTTTCATCCTGAAGTTCATCATGATGATAGAAATCATAGGCGAATCTTAGTCATTTCCACAGGAAGCACAATCCAAAAATTAAGCTTTTTTGCAGTCTTGTGTGATTATGTGCCACAGAAGTAAATGAAACATTTATTTATTTCAATATATCCTTTAGCAAATCGTACAAAATGGATTGTTTATTGTTTACTGTATTATGAGGGCAACAGGAAACAACTATGTAAAACTATCTTTCCCAATCTTTGGTATTTTATTAATATTAACATTTTAAATAGTTTTAAAATTTACCCTTGCAGCAGGCACCAAATCTTTGTTCCCATATGGATCTTTCTTGTCATACAAGTCATGGGGGAGATGCTTCCAAAATATATTGACAGCAATTCCAAATTCCAGAGCCAAAGCATTGTGAAACCATAATGCTGGTATAAATAAAATATCACCTGGTTCCATCATGCATTCATATCTCTTGACATTACGAAATCGTGGGTATTTATTTAAATCTGGGTTATCGATATCTATAACTAAAGACTTGTCACCAACTAAATACATGTTTAGAGCATCATCAGGACTGAAAAGAGTTACTCGTTTCTTTCCACAAATCTGTATTAATATGTTGTCCATTATATCATAATGTGTCCACAGTTGCACCCCAGAAGAACCAATTCTAAAAACGCTAGAGAAAAAGTCCTTGTCATTGAAAAACTTTGGGACAGTAATGTCTGATGCAATATTTGGAAACTGCTTTTTCACATCAGCTATTTCTCGCCCACGAGGATCAGATCCCAGGGACCGCAAATAGTAATACTCATGTGAATTAAGAAAGTACTCAGTATTTTCTTCTTTGGCTGCTCTCTCGATTAGATCACGAAGTGGTAAAGTCTTGTACACAAAGTTTTTTGATATAAAATCCATTTTCGGATCTGTGCTGACATGCACTTTCACTGGCACTTCACCGATTTTTTCAGATAAATAATCACGAGTCCATAATTTCGTACACGGGCCAATATCAACGCCTTTAATTAGAGCTGGTTCGCGTCTCGGATAGATTTGTTGGGTGAATTTTTCTTCACTAACACTTTCATATGTAGATACGTCCCAATGTGACATTTTGATCCTTTTAAGTTGATTATAAACTATTACACAAAAAGGATTGGTTTGAAGTAATGTACTCTTGTCATTTTAGTAGATCAAAACAAAATTATACTTCTCGACAAGGTACCGGCGAGGACAGGTAAATATTTTCCTGCAGCTAACGAGAAGACTGTTAAGAGAAAACTTATCACCTAAGAAAATACGTTATCTTCACCAGACTTTCACATAACCCCTGCTCACAATTAGACAATGAATTATCATCTACGATATTTTACCACATACTACAATTTATCGACAACATTTGGCATGAAAACAAAAAAGTATATTATTAAAATTTTCATTAAAAAAATTAACAACATTGAACACTAGCTTTGCATATCCACAAGGAAATTAGATTCACTCCAATTACTCTGTTAAGTTGGCAACATCGGGCAACATTAAGAATGAACAGAGTAGCAGAGATTTAAACAAGAGGACTGCACAGAGCGCACTTGGATTTAAAAAGGCGGCAATCCGATCAAAAACAAGAATGTTGATGTAACAAATAGATAAATGAATAAGATACATATCATGCAAAAATACGTAATGCGCTATTAAGGGATATTGTGTGAAACGCATAAAATATTCTTTTTTCCAGTATATCTTCTACCAAAGAGTATATCTAGTCTTCTACAAGTTTCGCAAGAACAACAAAAGAACAATATAAAGACCTCGTTTAAGAGCATTCTGGATAATGCATTGCAAATGTTTGTGCCGTACAAATACTTAAAAAGAAATTCAGATCCAGAATATTACAATGCGAAAATTCGACGTATGAAGAGAAAAGCCAGAAAAGCGTTCAATAATAGACATCGCAGTAAAAATCATAGGATACTTTTTCGTAAGTGTTCAAAAGAATTAGAGCGAAAAAAGAAAATTGCGCCGGAGTCATTTTTAAAACACATTCTCGACAGTGAGGGAAATAATTGGTCAGGGTTTTACAAATATGTTCGCAGAAGAAGAGGAAATAAAGAAGAAATTCCTATCGTTAGAGATACTAACGGGTTAGTAATAAATGATCGGGAAAAAGCAAACGCATTTAATGCCTACTTCAGTTCCGTTTTTAAAACAAAATCTCACCATACTCAGATATCGAGGGAGGCTGTACCAAACCAGTTTAAAATAGACGTAAATGCATTGCGAAAGCGAATTAAATCTATGAAAAATGGAAAGCCCCGGGGTCCAGATGCCATTTCAACGGACATAATTAAACTCAGTGGAGAGGCAATATTACCATATCTAATAAGATTATTTCATATTTCGATCAACAATTCATGCGTGTCAAAAGAGTGGAAGCTAGCTACTATTGTTCCGATATTTAAGAATGGTGACAGAACTTTTTTAGCAAATTATAGACCGGTAAGTCTTACGTCAGTTGTATGTAAGACAATGAAACATCTGATAACTAGCTATATTAGACAAGAATGGCTATTTCAGGGACAGCACGGTTTTAGGAATGGTTTCTTTTGCGAGAGTCAGAGAGTATCATTCTTTCAGGATATAGCAGATGAAGTTGATGATAGTGGGAGGGTGGATGCTATAGTAATAGATTTTGCGAAGGCATTTGATGTTGTCCCACACGATAAACTAG